TTGGCAGGGCCATGTAATCTCCTTCCCTTTTCAGCCTTCCCTCACAAACGCATATTCCCTTTTTAGCTTTCCCTTTCACGAATACACACACCCTTCTTCACCTTTCCCTTCCATCCACACTCACGGCATGCACATGTGCGCACACACAGAAGTCTCTCTCTTCACCTCTGCCTTCCTCTAACACACACACACACACACACACACACACACACACACACTCATTTTGGGTATGGTACATAGGCCAAGTCTATCCTCTACTGGAGCACCTGTTAACAAGGCATCTGACACTTTTCTTCTCTCCCTGTTGCTGAATATAGCCCCTGGGACTAAGGTTCTGGAACCAGTGAGGAAAGTTCAACCAATGAGACCCAAGGAGAGATTTAAACTAAATAAGCCTGTAGGAGCTAAAATGTTCCAGCACAGTGCGCAGGAGGGAGCTAAAAAATATAAAGAGATCAGAGATGAAGATGGAAGACAGTGTTAAAATCCATGCAAGGTGTTGCCCAGTAGAACACAAAGTGTTTGGTGAGGAAGCTTCTTAATAAAAATATGAAGCCAGTGCAAATTTCCAAAGTGATGAAGCCAACACCTCAGGAACATCACCTTTCCTCGTTTCTTCAGTGTGACTGAGTAATAACACCTAGGGAAATGATATATGCTAGTCAAGTATCAGAGCAGGATTTGGAATATGACCATATCTTACGGAGCATATAAAGTGGCTCCAGTATGACTGACAGTTTAGACAGAGGCGGAGGCTAGGGACTATCAGGTCAACATACACACAATAAGGCCCTATCTGCTCTATAACTATTAACAAGTCTTACAACCCAATAAAAAGATGTAGTGTAGACAAGACTTACTTTTGTCCGTGGAATTTCATTAAAGCCATGGACTGTCTAGGGTTTTAACATGTTTATTGGGACACAGAAGTCCCAGCCATTGTACATTGTAAATTGTAACTGTTTTGCAACTGGGTTCCTGCCTGGACTCTGTTATAGCTGTAGATGGGATCTAAAAAATGGTTTATGTATATTCAAAACCAGTGAACCCCAGCAGGGTTTTGTTTTCAGGGAGAGACAACTCAAACCCACAGCAGTCCGATTTGTGGAATGGTGGTAGAAACTTTCTCCAGTGTAAAGTCTCCGGAGGGCAGACTAGCCATAGCTCAGAAAAATGCATCAATGTTTTCAAAAGGCTCAAAGCAGACCTGAACCCATGACAAGCCAGTGGTGCTCTAACCCCCACCTGCAGCTTGCTGGTTATGAGTTTTGCCCAGGGCTGCTGTCACTGTGGCTGACTCCCTTAGCACTTCCCATAGCGACAGCATCAGGAAGCTGCTAATGTTGCACAGGGATAATAGAAACTTCCATAAGCACTATATTTCCAAGTTGATGTTTTTTATATAGACCTGAAAAGTAATTCCTGTGGGTTCTGGTGAGTCAGTCAATCAATGGAGAGTTAATTATAACTTCAGGAGGTGGAAGTTTTAAGTTCTGCTCTAAAAAGTAACTGTAAAAATAGCATATTGGGGGTTCTGTATGGCTTGTGTCTCAGTGACTCCAGAGCAGCTTTTCAAACTGCCAATCCTGCAAACTCATCCTCAGCACTGCTAGTCAGACTAGTTTATGTCTTCCTCACACATCATCACCAGGTGTAAAAGTTCTACAGCTGAACAGGCTATCAGTGATGGCTATGCAATCTTATTTTCTTTATACTGCTTCCTCAGTGACACACGTGCAACTCCGTTGTCCTCAGTTGGGTTGCACAACTGTAAGTGATTGGTCCTGTAATTGGAATTTGTTCACATATCTGTTGATGAGGCACAAAAATGAATAGAATCCAGCTTGCTGTCGATTGGCTGCACTGGCATAGCAGGGTTAACAGGAGCACAACTCTCTGGCAAAATACAGTCAGTGTTGCAGCCCTTGGGGGTTGTGAGTGTCACTAAATGCTCGTGAAATTTAGAGCAGCCCCAAAGCTGCTCTAAATTGCACCAAAGGCTGAATTGGCCATCACCCTGTTCAGAGGAGGAGCAGAAAGGTGAAGTAAAGCTACCTTTAGGTACACCAATCAATTCTCTAGCACACTTGAGGTTTGGGTCCTCTGTCTCCATTCCTGTGCTTAGTCCACTGGATCCCTGTTTCCATAGACTCATAGACTCATAGACTTTAAGGTCAGAAGGGACCAATATGGTCATCTAGTCTGACCTCCCGCATGATGCAGACCACAAAAGCTGACCCCCCCACTTTCCCTTAACTCTGCTGTTGAAGTCTCCAGATCGTGATCTAAAGACTTCAAGTTGCAGAGAATCTTCCAGCTTGCGACCCCTGCCCTATGCTGCAGAGGAAGGCGAAAAACCTCCAGGGCCACTGCCAATCTACCCTGGAGGAAAATTCCTTCCCGACCCCAAATATGGCGATCAGCAGAACCCCGAGCATACAGGCAAGATTCTCTAGCCAGACCCTCATTTTACCAGTGATGGCTGTTATTGCCTAATTGACTAAAATCATGTTATCCCATCAAACCATTCCCTCCATAAACTTATCTAGCCTAATCTTGAAGCCAGAGAGGTCTTTCACCCCCACCGTTTCCCTCGGAAGGCTGTTCCAAAATTTCACCCCTCTGACGGTTAGAAACCTTCGTCTAATTTCAAGCCTAAATTTCCCCACGGCCAGTTTATATCCATTCGTTCTCGTGTCCACATTAGCACTGAGCTGAAATAATTCCTCTCCCTCCCTGGTATTTATCCCTTTGATATATTTAAAGAGAGCAATCATATCCCCCCTCAGCCTTCTTTTGGTTAGGCTAAACAAACCAAGCTCCTCGAGTCTCCTTTCATAGGAAAGGTTTTCCATTCCTCGGATCATCCTAGTGGCCCTTCTCTGTACCTGTTCCAGTTTGAGTTTATCCTTTTTAAACATAGGAGACCAGAACTGCACACAGTACTCCAAGTGAGGTCTCACCAGCGCCTTGTATAACGGAAGCAGCACCTCCCTGTCCCTACTAGAAATACCTCGCCTTATGCATCCCAAGATCGCATTAGCCTTTTTCACAGCCATGTCGCATTGCCGACTCATAGTCATCCTGCGATCAACCAGGACTCCGAGGTCCTTCTCCTCCTCCGTCACTTCCAACCTATGCGTCCCTAGCTTATAACTGAAATTCTTGTTAGTCATCCCTAAATGCATCACCTTACACTTCTCACTATTAAATCTCATCCTATTATTATTACTCCAATTAACAAGGTCATCCAAGTCTCCCTGCAGAATATCCCGATCCTTCTCCGAGTTGGCAATACCTCCCAACTTTGTGTCATCCGCAAACTTTATCAGCCCACTTCTACATTCGGTTCCGAGGTCAGTAATGAATAGATTAAATAAAATCGGACCCAAAACCGAACCTTGAGGAACCCCACTGGTGACCGCCCTCCAATCTGACAGTTCACCTTTCAGTACTACCCGCTGCAGTCTCCCCTTTAACCAGTTCCTTATCCACCTCTGGATTTTCCTATCGATCCCCATCTTTTCCAATTTAACCAATAATTCCTCATGCGGTACCGTATCAAACGCTTTACTAAAATCGAGGTATATTAGATCCACCGCATTTCCTTTATCTAGAAGGTCTGTTACTTTCTCAAAGAAGGAGATCAGGTTGGTTTGGCACGACCTGCCTTTCGTAAACCCATGTTGTAATTTGTCCCAATTGCCATTCACCTCAAGGTCCTTAACTACTTTCTCCTTCAAAATTTTTTCCAAGACCTTGCATACTACAGAAGTTAAACTAACAGGCCTGTAGTTACCCGGGTCACTTTTTTTCCCCTTCTTGAAAATAGGGACCACATTAGCTATTCTCCAGTCCAACGGTACCACCCCCGAGTTTACAGATTCATTAAAAATTATCGCCAAGGGGCTCGCAATTTCTCGCGCCAGTTCCTTCAATATTCTAGGATGAAGATCATCCGGTCCGCCCGATTTAGTCCCGTTTAGCTGGTCAAGTTTGGCTTCCACCTCTGATACTGTAATGTCAATCCCCCCTCCTTTATTCCCCTCTGTCCATGAATTCATTCTTTTAAAGGCAGAATCTCTTCCTGTGCCTCCTCCCCCTTTTCCAATCTCTAGCTACATGCACCCTGAATCAGAATTCAGAAAGCCACTGACCTGTGAGTTTGATTACCTGTGTGCCAGATAGCATAGAAAGTACAGTATTCAGAGAAGAAGACTACCTTAAATCCATACTCACAAAACAGTTTCACAACAAGTGAGCAAACATACATGACAATCACCCTAATTCTTGTTTAGCTTTCCTAGAAGGATATGACATTTTTCTGACAGACCATGCCTTTCCTGTTGATTCTGTGCCCGTCTTAGCTTGTATGTAACTGGAGAAGGTACAGAATACTAAGAAGGGGCACAGGTTTGTTAATGAGAGGAGGACCATTGGGCCCAGTCCTGCAGTGACACCTCCTGCGAGGTGCTGAATGCCCTCAACTATCATTGCATCAGTGGGAGCTCAAGGTGCTCACCACCACACAGGACACACTTAGGGTATGTCTGCACTGCCAGCTGACTCGGGCTTGCGGGGCTTGGACTAAGGGGCTGTTTAACTGTGGTGTAGATGTTCAGGCTTGGGCTGGAAGCTGGGCTCTAGGATCCTGCAAGGGGGGAGGGTCCAGTACTTGGACTCCAGCCTGAGCATCTACACCGCTGTTAAAGGGCCCCTTAGCCCAAGCCCCACAAGCCCATGTGAGCTGGCATGGACCAGCTGTGGGTGTCTAATTGCAGTATAGATGCACCCTTAACTTCTTGAAGGATCAATCCCAAAGGAGTAACTTGTGCTTTGATGTGCCTGCACTTTTTACAAGTAAAATCACTGGAAAGCTTGTGTGAATGCAGCAGGCTATTTTTTTAGTAGAGTTCCAGGGGCCTTCAAAGCATGAGAGGTTGTGTCACTGCATATAGAGTAACTGATTATGGTTTTGGTTTTTTTATTTCATCTTGTAGGACACCCTAAACAAAGGGCAGCTGTTCCAAGGAATGGATTTTCCACCAAGGCAGATCTGCAGACTCGAGAGACTGAACGGCAGTTCATCCAGCAGCTGAAGGAAAAGTGTGACAAGCAGTCCAGGCAATTCAGCTGTATTCAAGAGGAACTTAAAAGAGCCAGTCGTGGCTTCGAGGTCTTCGCTATAACAACACAGCATTTCTTTTGTAAGGTAAGTGCACCCCATTAGAAAGCATTTGTGAGGGTGTTTAATGCTGTGTCTGAATGCTAGTCATCTACACGAGCTACTCATTACTCCAGCCCCATTTTAACTCTGCTCTTAGGAGCCAAGTGTATAATTTCATTGTAACGGTTGCTATGAGAAGGGTATTATAATTAGATACCACGTAGCTGGGAATCGAAGATCGGTGCATTGAGATAGAGGAGAGTGCTGTAACTGATGCCTTTGTAATGAAGGTGGAGGGGATTTAGAACGGATTTAAGGATATAAGACGTGCAGAAATAAAAGGTGCCAGCCATCTGTACATTAGCGCTGGAATGGACAACTTCACTAAAATTGTGACAGCTGCAACAAAGGTGCAAACTGGTCATAGACTTAATCTTTCAAAGTGTGGCAGAGGGAGGAAAAGAGACTTTCCTACTATACCTGTGCACTCCCCATTTACCACAGGCTGGGTAATACTGACTTGTCATCCAAATTACAGTGATCACTCTTATAAATCTGTCAATTCCCTTAGATACATGAAATAACGATGCCTCAGTATTTGCAGTATCCCTTATAGCAGGAACAGACTAATTATAAAATCATATCTGTTTACCAAATGCAGGACAACATTGGGAAGGCTTAAAGAGAAACCACGGTATTCTTGAAGGATTTTAATTATCACTTGCCTCAAAAGCCGCTTGCTCTAGGATATGAGGCCAGATTCACCAGTCTGTTCTGTTTGCTTTGTACCCCTCCAGGTGAAGCCGGGTTTGTGACTGCTTTGTGTTGCTGGAGCAGTGCAAAACAGACAGTGATCTCAGTGGATCTGGCCTGGGATTTCTGTAACATCCCAGAACTGTCAGCAGGGCCCGCTCTAGACACCAGCGTTCCAAGCATGTGCTTGGGGCGGCACTTCTCAAAGGGCAGCATTCCGGGTTTTTTTGTTTGTTTGTTGTTGTTTTTTGCTTCGGCGGCAGCACTCCGGCTTTTATTTATTTATTTATTTATTTATTTTTTTGCTTGGGGCGGCAAAAAACCTGGAGCCGGCCCTGAGTGTCAGTTTGTCTCTAAGTTTGGAACAGCCAATACTATACTTTTGGCACTGAGTGGGGGGAAAAAGAGCCCAGCTTTAAACCTTCTAAAACAATTCAGAAACGCTTTACATGCTTTTTTATGTTTGGTTTGTGGTTTTGATGGGGCAGGAGAGAGCTGCCTTTGAGGTGGCACCAGAAGCTCTGCCTTGTTCCCAAGTAGGAGTTGATCTAGCAGGCTGGCTGGGGAGTCTGAATGAGGGGAAAAGAAATTGTGTGACAGGAGGATTTTATGAAACACTAAATATTTAAAATATTTTTCTGAGGGTTTCTTTTTCCTTTATCTTTTTTTTCCAGTCTTGAGACTTCAGGGCATTTTTGAAGCTCTTTTCTGAGCTGACTGTGGAGTGTCCTTGATTAAAAGCAGAGGGAAATACAAAAGAGTGCAGCAGTGCCTGCATAGCTTTGTCTATGTTCTATCTACTGGAGAGGGATTTCTCTTCTTGTGCATCATTCACAACTTGCTACAGGGATTCTACAAAATATGGGTGCATGTATAGTAGCAGACAAAGAGAGAGAATATATATTTATGCTGTTGCTTTTATGCTGTTGTGTTAGAAATCAGGTAGATGGGCAACAGATCTAATTTTCTGTGCATGGCAACTTCATGAACAGCATTAGTAACAGAGCTACAAAGCCACCTGGACACAACTATTAATTTGTTCTATTATGGAAGTGTGGTATTGGAAGGGAGCTGTAGCATGGCTCGGGATTTGGTTAAAACTTGTTTAGGTCCCATCCACAGTGCAAGGTGGAACAGTTTTGAAATTGTTTTCCCATTAAAATAATTTAGGGTAACATTTTTAAAGCAGCTAAGTTACTTTGACGCATAGACACCTACGACTCATTGAATTTCAATGGGACTTAGACTTTTAAGTCAGTTAGAATCTTTTGAAAATGTGACCTTTGGGTGTTTTTCTGTGCTTGGTCTCTATTCCAAGGTGATTTTTTGTTGTTGTTGAAAGTTTGAGCAAAATCAGTCCTGCTGCTTTTGAGTGAGGGAAGTGTGAAAACAAAACAAAACCCTTTTCACGTTAAAAAAAGTATATTGTGACTGGTTTTGTTGGTTTAAAAGATGGCTACAGGCAAAATGGTTGAGAGTTGAGTTAAATTTCAATTTGGCAGGGGAATAGTCCTCATTAAGGAGAGAGACATGGCTTTGTTCCTGAAGAATTTAGTTTTAATTTGTACAAGCGATGAGTGCTTGAAAATTTCATGCTCTGCATGCATGGTGATGTCCTGCTAAGCTCGCAGAGGGCCTGATCCATCACCCATTGAAATTATTGGGAATCTAAATGTGCATGTAAGGAACAATGTACTGTATACAAGTAAAATGTTAACTTTTCTGCTGTGCCTCAGAGTTGCTCCCACCTGGTTCAGATAAATGTCCAGATTTTGGGGAAAATCCAGGATCTTATAAAAAATTCTCTCCCCTCTCCCTACTGTTGCTCTATTCTCAGACAAAATGCTCCCTTGGGTTGAGGAATATACAAAGGCCTGGGAGCCAGTTCCTGAATTCCAGTCTCACCTCTTTCACGAACAAACCTTCTATAGGGCTTGACTGTGCACCTGTTACTCAAGTTGAGTAGTAGTCACCATTGGGAGTAGTCCCATTAATTTCAATGGTACTAACTGCACAATTGCTGCTGTTAAGGCTAGATGCTGCAGTTTGCACACAGCCCTGCATTGGGGATGGTATAGAACTGCATCACCTCACGGGTGGGAAGCACCAGTATAGATCATGTGCGAGGAGGCATCCTACAAGTTCCCCAAGGCGCTAGTCCTATCCTACAGGACAGTAGACAGGACAGGGCCATGGTCACTTGCTCCCTATCTTTCGGTAATTTGCTCACTGAAGGGATGAGCAGTCCCTGCTTATGGTGATGGCTATTGTGATTAAGCCTTTGTGCAGCCATGCAAAGGAAGAGGCAAGGTTTCTTGCTTGCTTTCACACTAACATTTGTGCAGATCTGGCCCTTACCAAGGTAAAGATCTCCCTCAGACAAAAACCATAGAGTTAATTTAGTTACATGGCAGTATTCTATTTCTCCTTTAGATAAAGGCTGTATTGCAGTATGTACACCCACAGGGACAGAGTTAAGGTTACATGTGCAACCTTAACTTTGGTATGTCCTAGCTTTTAAGTGACTAACCTTGCAACTTTAAAGTTGCATGAGCTTTTTCCATTTAATTTATACTAATATGCCTCGGCAGCCATTCTGAGAGAAATGTGACCATTCAGTAATATCTCAGAACTAATGTTCCTTTCTCCTCCTCCACTGAAAATATTCTTAAAAAAAAAAAAAGGATTAAGAACTGATGTAAAACTAATAAGTACCAAGGAATTTGAAGCACATAGTAATGCTTACTATATACTCATCAAATTGCAACTAAAACAGACCACCACCTTGTTATCTAGAAGGATAGATAATCAAATGCGGCGCTGACTCAGACAGAGAGCAAAGGAAAATGAAAGCAGTGGTTCTTACACAGGCCATTAGCCAGTTATGAAGGGTAATGATTGCTATGCCTGTGGACAGCTGTATTTTAATTAATTATTAGTTAGCAGATTAATTAGCTATGGTCAAATTTTGCCCTCAGATATATATGCATAACTCCTATTGACTTCAGTGGGAATTTTAAACTTATCTGAAACAGGACAGTTCTTGCTTAATGTTTCATATTCATAATGCTTAATTCTATCCTCAGCTTATGTGCTGAGGATGCCAGCTGTGATGGTGTATTACGTGCAGTGAAGAAACTGTCCACGGGGAATTGAACTAAGATCATCAAGTCATTTCACACAATACAATATAAACAGCATTCGGTGACTTTGGTCACTACTGACCTCCACCAGCTAGATTAGCCTGATAATCAATGGCATTTCTGGCCCAGTTTCAAGCCCTGTGTTAAATAAAGCCAAAGGATTTTCTTGTGTTGCAGTTTGCCTGTTAGAAGTGGCAATAGTGCCATCTACAGGAGAGTAGCCCCAAGTGACATGTTTTGGAAAGAATCCCTTATTTAAATAAAGAGTAGACGAACTATATCTAAATATTTCTATCGTATTTATAGATAGCTTTTTCTGCTGAACACTAGCATGGCCACACCACCCCAGTGCATTGGGCTACTCTGTGATAATGGCATCACTTCCTCTTCTGCCAGTTCCAGCTTAGATGTAAGTTTGAAAAACAGTGAAGATACCTTGTTAACAAGCTCCTGATTCTTTGGGTAAATGAGGAGTTTATGTAAGTAGGTACAGAGCTTCCCAACCTTTCTCAAAGAAAATTGTTGCAAGAAATTGCTCTTTATATAAAGTGTAGGGATGTTATTATTGGAACATCCATTTCACTGAGGAGCGGACATTTCTTTGTATTCCAGTTAGGAACAAAACATGAACATTTTGAAATTGACTAAAAGAAAGTTCCAAAAAAAGTTCCATTTCATTTCAATTATGACTTTTAAAAATTGAACATTCTGTCATAATGTATACTATAATACAAAATAAAACCTTGCTAAACAAAGAGTCATTTTGAAAAGAAAAATCTAAGTGTTTTGGAACTTTTACCCCCCCCAAAAATTTCAGCAAAATCAATATGATTTCATGAAGCATTTCAATTTCAGCAGAACCGCATTCTCTGATGGAAAATGGGTCCATTAAAGATTTTCCAGCCAGCTCTAATTATTATTATTTATTTATACATTGTCATAAATATTAATGGAGCTTTACAGAGAAAGCTTTATACCTAAGGAGGGATATGTGTGCATTTGCAGTCCCCTAGGTGTTCCTTGTAGTGCTGACAGGGAAATACAGGGATACTGCAAATACTAAGGTAACCAGATCAAAGGCAAAACTGGTATATTAATAAGGGTGGCCATTGTGTGAGTGTATATATAAAATACTTCATTTATCAATCT